CTGCGGATCCTGAGCCCTGACTGGGCGAGCCGCTGTGCTGTTCCCGGGCCTGGGGACCGTCCGCCTCCAAGCCCACGTTGCGGTGGACAGCCTTCACCAGCCTGCTGTGCCCTGATGGCTCAGCCACATGTGGTCACACCCCCAGGACACTGCTGGCCCCGAGTCAGGCAGGTGTTGGTGCTGTGCGTGGCAGGGTGCGGCCGTGATGCCGAGCAGAGCGAGGCCACCCTGACCCTTCAGGTGTCTCAAGCTGAGTGGCCATCTGCACAGGAGGGGATGTGCCCAACACCCAGGGCCCCAGTTTCCAAGTGCTGCCGAGTGGCCACACCAGTGGTCCGTTCCTTCTCCCACGGCCCCCCCAGACGCCGCGCCTGGATGCCGCCACGGCCCCCCCAGACGCCGCGCCTGGATGCCGCCACGGCCCCCCCAGACGCCGCACCTGGATGCCGCCTGCAGCTGAAGGTGTTTGTGCCGACACACTGTGCTGCTTCGCCGTGCTGGGGAGAGCAGGTTGGCGGCCACGGCAGGCACTCCGGGCCCGGGCGGTCTGTGTCCAGCGTTTTCCCTTCCAGACCCTGGAGGGCTGAGCCTGGGGCACCTGGCCACACGACACCTGATTGCTCCTGGTCTCCAGACAGGACACAGCCAGGGTAGGGGGCCGTGTGGGCATCAGGCCTGGCCATGCCCACAGGTGGGTTTTGTCTGAAGCCGTGCTGTTGGTGGAAGGGACACCAGCCCTGCCCTGTGGAGCCACGTCACGAGGCAGGACACAGACTTCCCACGTCTTATTGGTGGTCCTCAGGTGCCAGTCTGCTTGGCAGGTGGAGCTGGGGCAGCCACTGTTGTCAGAAGGGCAGGTGTCCTGACCACAGATGTGACTTGCCGCAGACCCCGTGCCAGCAGGTGGAGCTGGGACGGCCACTCTGTTGTCAGGAGGGCTGGCATCCTCGCCACAGACCCCATGCACTAGGGCCTGTATGCATTGTGGTTTTTGCACATGAGTCTGAAGTGATTTTTGAAAATCACTTTCAGAGACTGTGGGAAAGAGCCGATGTTGTATCAGCCTGTTTTAACTCAGTGAAATAAAAGTTTTGTTTGGTATTTTTCCAGTCCCCAAATTCGCCTTGGTCAGTTTGTTTGCAGGAAGGTGCCAAGGTTGGCGTGTACCCTTGGATATGGTCACCGGCACGGCTGCAGTAGCTGCTGGGCCCTCTGTACGGGGCGAACCGCCCCAAAGGTTGGCCAGGCGACCTGCTCCCTCCCCACAGCTGTGTCTCCTTGAGGCAGCTGGGGCCTTGGGGGGCAGCCAGCGCACTGCTGGGGGTATCTGGGGCTGCTGCTCAGAGACACCACCACGTGCAGAAGGGCCCTGATTTCTGTCAGGACAGGGGTTGGAGGAGGACCCTGCCCCCAAAAGGCCATCACAGAGCACAGTTGGCCCCTGGCCACTCACAAGCTGGGATGCCTTGTCCAGGGACACAAGTACCAAGGTCCGGGCAGAGGTGGGACGTCGAGGTGGCCCCTCGCACTCCCCAGCATCTGGGTGTGTGTGTTACTTTAGTGCCACCTTCCACCTCATGGCCTCCGAGGGGTCAGAGCAAGCTCACCCCCGCCCCACCCGACATGGGCTCAGCCAGGCTGCAGGCATGGCGTCTCACTGCAGCCTGGCCCACCAGCCCCCAGGCCACCCCGCTGGCAGGGTTGGGGGCCATTTCTGGGTCAGCAGAAGGGAAGATGTGTCCTCCCCGGGCGACCCAGTTAGTGGAGCTAATTTCAGAACCAGGCCTCTGCTCTCCTGAGACCGCCTGGCGCGGCACGTGGCACAGGGCAGAGCATGGATGGGCACGCCTCCCAAGGCCGCTGTGGTCTCCTCGGGGCTGACTACCGAGCCATGTTTTCCAGAGTGCGGGGTGGGACCCTGCCCTGTATGAGGTGCAGCCCACTATCACGCAGATCAGAAGGAGCAGCCCGTGACAAGGGGAGGGGTGACCAACAAGGAGTCCACATGCCCACTGTAGGGTGGGAGAAGCCCACCGAGAGGGAGAGTGGCCCCACGGCCCACCACAGCACCACCTCTTCCCTGGCTGGGCTGGCCCTCTCCCCCGCCCATCACTGATGGGCTTGGTCCACAGGCTCCAGGGTTCATTGGGAGCACAGATACACGGCGCGTGAGGACCAGCGATACCTTGGTTTGTAGAGACAAGCAGCTGCCAGGCCAGGCTCTGCCCCGATCCTGGAAGGACGATGAGGCCACACCCAGTCCCTCCCTGGGAGGTGGCCCTCGGGGACCCGGCAGCCGCAGCCTAGCCCCCCCGCCCTGTCCTGTCTCCAGGGGGCCAGCTCTGCCCCGTAAGGCACCGTGTCACCATGGCACAGCGTCCCAGGTCTTCAGCAAACACTGTGTCATGGCCAGGTGTACAGCACCCCAGGTGTCCAGGGCGTCCAAGCAGGGGAGGGGGAGGGGGACTGCAGGCCCCTGTCACTCTGGGGGTGGCCTGTGCGATGACACCTGCTGGAGGCCTCAGGATGACAGGCCCAGGAGTGGTGCGCACAGGAAGGGGCAGTCAGCCACCGCCATCTGTCCGGCAGGAGCTGATGGTCTTGGGTTTAAGCCTCCTTCCCCTACCTCATAATCAGTAACAAAAATGATCCCCTTTACAGGGCGCCCTCCAATCTGTTATCTAGATTGTTGGGGCTATGGGCAACAGCAAGGGGCGATTGGCCAAGGCGGGGGTGGAGGGCTGGCCCCTGGGCAAGCTGGGCCATGAGGGCCCCATGGCCTCTCATGAAGTCATCTCAGGGTGGAGGCAGGGTGACCAAGGCCGGGCCCAGGCATCTGGGGCCAGGCAACCAGCCTCAAAGGACCATGGTTTGAAAGCTGCTCCTACACTCTCTGTGGCACCGTTGCTGCCTGGCTGGTACATCACCCACGTCCCCGGGCACAGTTGGGAGGAGGGGCGGTGGGAAGCAGGGGTCTGAGTCTCAGACCTGCTGGCATCGAGGGGGGCAGAGCCCAAGACAAAGCCCCTCCCACACCCCACAGGCCACCAGGTGCACGGCCACCCAGGGCAACGTGTTCTTGGCCCCAGCTCAGAAGCCCCAAGCAGGTGGGGCAGGTCTCCAGGGTGAGGTGGGCTCCCTCTGCCCAGCCAGGTCTAGCTGAGGGTAGGTTGGAGGGGTGGGCAGTGCGTCTGGACCCCAGGGCATCTCCGGAAGCTGCCCGGCCTGGAAACAGGGCCAGGTCCTCTTGAGGAAGAGGTCCACACCCATGCTGGGAGGGCTCCAGGAAGCAGGGGGTCCTGGGGCCTGAGGGCGGCCGCAGAGGGCAGGAGGGCCTGACCAGCTGTAGGTGGGATGGGCGCCAAGGGGTCTCCTCAGCTCACAGCCCTCCACCCACACCGGATGGGACCTCAGCCTGTGGGCCCCAGCACCACAGCACTGGGGGGCCTCGGAGGGGGCACACATTCGGGGCAGGCCTAGTCCCCAGGGTCCCTGCAGGAGGGGAGGGTGGGCGGGGCCAGGGCCCCAGGTGGCAGGAGTGGGCAGGGCGCTGCCAGAGCTCTGCCCGCAGCTCCAGCCTGG